GCGAGACCCCGTCTCTTTTGCCCTTGCCTTCCTTACAATATTTGTGCTTTGTAAGTACAATATTTTCTGTATTTGCAAATAAACCCAATTTGGCTTTCCAGAGGATACTCTTGCGTATGCTGGAGTTTATTACTCTTTAGTACTGACTCTGTCCCCAACATTCTTTTGCCTCATATCTTACATCTCCGTCTCCTTTACTATTAAAGCTCATGGAGAATCAGGATACCTGGGGACTCCCAGCCACCTCGTCGCTGACCCCTACCGGAGCATTGTCTAAAAGTTTTTGCGAAAAGCTGTTATCGCTCTTGTCGCCAGCAGGGTATGCTCGTGTGCACACAACCTGCAGGAGAAAATGTGGAAGGATAACAATGCAAAAATGCCTCAGACTTTAAAATTCCCCAATTCTTCCAACAGCAGTCCAGTTTGCTGCTCCTCAACTTGACCGGACTTGCCCTACCAAACTCCAGCCATAGAATGTCACCTACTTTCATCACTAGCTTACCAATGTTTTTGCTTTTATATGCTGCAGGCGACAAGATCTGTCTAAACAGGTCTTTCTCTCAAATCCTTCAATTCTGCTTGTTTGCGATGATGCTGACCTTCGGACCGGGGCTCCCTCTATTCCCCCCCCACACACACCTTGTTGGGGGATAAAAGCAACTTAAAAGGAGCCCAGATGCCCTTGTGGTAGCAGAGGTGAGGGGCTAGTGTGGCAGAATGCGTCATCCTTGTCTCTGTTTGCCAACAGCTAATGCAAAAGATCGAATTGAAGCCCAGAGCTTAGATAACCAGGGGAACCTCATGCCTTCCTCTGAGCCATATTGAGCAAGTATTGTGCCCCTATCGCATTTTAAAAGAAACAGGCAAATGATGTATAAAAGAAGAAAAAATTTTAAGTTGTCAGTTCTTGTTGGTCTGTGGTAATAATTCCATCTTTTAAAAGAACTATCTTAGAAAGCAAATACATGAGAAGTGTCAAGGTTATTCTGTACCTGAAAAATTCTAGGAGGTCAGAAACTATCTTCTTTAACATACTTGTACTTTGTATAGAACTTTTCATATTGAACAAGTTTTCAGGGTCAATACTTTTCCCCTTTTGAGGGTGTGTGTGGGTGTGTGTGTGTGTGTGTGTGTTTCTTTAAACCAAATTATTTTTAACTATTTATCCAACCAATTACCTATCCGTTCATCCAACCATCTATCCATTTATCTACACTTAAGATGTTTAAGTGTTCAATATTTAATAGATCCCAATTGGAGAGTAAAAAAGTAGAAATAATATAGAAAAGTCATTACCTTTGTAGACCTTACAGTCTTCTCTGGGGTGGGGAGCAACAATTATTTTAAAATGAGTCACATAAAGTATGAGTTAGGGTTCTTGTGATATCCTGCTAAATATATTTAATTATTTTGCCTGCCTGAATGCCTGAATGAATGCCTGAAATCTCCAATAACAAAAACTCTCCTGGGTTAAAACGTGGTTTTCACTAAAGGCCCAGTGCATGAATTTGTGCATAGGAGGGGTCCAGCCACCCGCCCCAATGGGGGCCAATTGGGGCGGGCCAGCGGTGGGGAGGAGACACGGGAGGCTGGCCAGCAGCCCCACCCCTGATGCAGGGGGCCCTGATTGGGGCCCAATTGGGCCAGTTGGCCAGCCACCACAATGTTCATTATAGCAACCAGTCTTTCCAGTCATTCCATCATTCTGGTCACTTGGCTTTTATAAATATAGATAGTTTTTGCTTTTGGTGTTTTGCTTTGAAGGGTATCACCCATTTCATGAGTATAAATATTCACATTTTATCTTTAGAATATACACCTGGCTGATTTAAAAATAATACTGCCTTTCAAAAACAATGTTTTTGCTCTTTTTAAAATATATATATTTTATTGATTTTTTACAGAGAGGAAGAGGGAGGGATAGAGAGTTAGAAACATCGATGAGAGAGAAACATCGATCAGCTGCCTCATACACACCCCTACTGGGGATGTGCCCGCAACCAAGGCACATGCCCTTGACCGGAATCGACCCCGGGACCCTTCAGTTTGCAAGCCGACACTCCATCCACTGAGCCAAACCGGTTTTGGCATGTTTTTGTTCTTAATTCTACTTTTTTAATATTAATATTAAGCCCCTTTCTTTTTAAAAATTGTTGCTTAAATTTGCCTAGTGTTTGTGTTATCTATTATTTATAGTATAGACTGAATGTTTGTGTTCCCAATAATTCTTTATTGAAACTTATTCCCCAATGTGATGGGCCTTTTAAAGATGATTAGGCCACAAAGGTAAAGTCCTCTTGAACAGGATTAGATACCCCACACTGGAGCTCCCTTGCCCCTTCCAACATGTGGGGACATATGGAGAAGACAACTTTACATGAAAGCAGGCCTTTACCAGACACCAAATCTGTAGGCACCTTGACCTTGGACTTGAGTCTATGGTATTTTTGTTATAGCAGCCTGGAAGTACCAGTATATACCAAACTACTCAAAATCTTAGTGGTGTGAAATAACAGCCATCTTATTATATCTTATTATTGAGAGGGCCAGAAATTTGGACAAAGATCTGCTGGACTATTCTGCTGCAGGTGATACCGATGGTATTCAGTTGCTTGCTAGTGTAATCTCTTAATTCACATGTCTGTCTTTGACAGACCTGGCTGTAAAACTGCACTCACTCAGACCCATTTCCCTCTCCATTTGAATTTGTGCACAGGTGGGGTCCAGGCATCTCTGTGGCAAGTTGTGAGACTTCTTACATAGAAACTCCGGCTTCATGAGACCATGTTGGAAGCTACTAGTCCTCTTAATGACTAGAGGAAGAAACAGCATAGCATCACTTCTGTCTGCTGTACTCTATTAATCAAAGCAGTCGTAGGCTAGTCTAATTTCCCACCACATATATAATTTAATGCTTTGTTTTGTTTTATTTTTGTGAGATGTCATCATATATGTAAAATACATAAGTGAATGTAAAGTTTACAAAACTTATTTGAACAACCTTGACTGCTAGGAATTTTTTCTTTGTATTAATATTTTATTCATTTTCCTGAAATCTCCTCTCATTAATACTACATTTAACCCTTGGGGTTACAAAGAAATGATTTAATATCATTTCTACCCACCAGCACCTCAAACATTTCTCACATTATATGGTTGCAATTTCTTTTTACCTTTCTGTTTGTCAAGTTTATACATCTTCCTCAGAAACTACTTTCTGTACTGGGAACCATACTTTCCAAGGAAGATGTATAAACTACCTCTGGTTTATCAACTAAACATATGACTGGAATATCATCTCTCATTATAGATCCCAAACTTATATTGATAAGGTCAAATAGTGTTATTTGCTTACTGCTGTGCTTATAGGAGCCTAAAATAACCAATATAGGTCAATGCATAGGACTCAATATATGTTATTGAATAAATAAATGCATGAATAAACAAGCCTTGTAAAAGTGTCATACTGGACTATAGTGGAGTAGAGAACTCCTAGGCTCTATCACTCTCAGGAAGCAACAAATAAGCTGGCAAAAACAGTTAGAATCAACTTTTTCAAACAGTCTAGAATCTAAAAACAAAAAAACAAAAAAAAAAACTTACAATGACCAGGGAAATATTTAATGAAGGGGAAAACTGTATAATTGAAGTACCAGAGCTCTGTGGCGTCATAATCTTCCCTATGACCATTTCCCACAGTGGTCTGAAGGCAGCAGCTCACATTCCTGCAATATGCTGGCAGCATAAGAAGGAATACAAACGTAATTCTCAAAGAACTGTAGTTGTGAGTTTTGACCTGTGTGGTAGCTTCATAATAAATCAGATCAAAACTGTTTTTATTGCATAGGGCATTTTTTGGACATGAAGTGGCTTCATGAGCAGCATTTCTTGAAAGCATGTAAAGGCAAATGTATTAGCTGCTGCCACCTTTGGGAAAGACATGATAGTCAAGGCAAGAATTCAACCAAAAAGGCTGGGAAAGAAGAAGACAGGAAATAAAGACTATGTAAAGTTCTGGAATATTCCAATGAATCTAGAAGGTCACAATGATTAGGTCAAAACACAGTCTCAGAAAAGACCTTAAGTTCTCACATGTGGCTGACCTTAAGGGTTTGAGCAAGAAGAAAGTGAAGCCTAGAGGAGAGTTATAACTGTCACACTAATGTTGAAGAAGTACTCCAACATAACCTAATCTGTAAACTGAGGGAGAGTTCTTTTGTTTGTTTTGTTGGTTGGTTGATTGGTTGGTTGTGTGAACCCTGAGAAAGATGACACCTACTAAGAAGGGCTAACTGAGCTAAAATTTTTATTATTACTAGAGGCCCATGCACAGATTCATGCACTGGTGGAGGGCGTGGCCTGTGAGAATCTGCCCCCTTGTGGGAGCGCTGCTCATCCTGGTCAGCTGAATGGTTGTGGACCCGCCCTCTGAGCAGCTGCTGAATGAGGAAATTAGTCTGAGCTGATATTTCAGGGTAATATCTTGGTTAAAAGCAGGTTCTGTGTCCTGGAGGAACCTGGTGGAGACCTTTGCACTCCAAAGCCACTTGGGAAATATCCTTGATGTGTGATACCAGGTTGGTGACACCATTGGAGATGTTCAGGGCATCTCCAATGCTCCAGGATTCTCAGCCATCAGGATAGCCTCTCCAGGGGTCCACATATGCCTTCTTACCATCCACCTATGCCAGCTTCCTACACTGTTTCTAGAACACACCTGAGGGCCTGCATCAGCTGTTAGGGTCAGGCCAGAGTCTGGATTGTCTCAGGTATTTAATAGGTGCAGAGATTCCGCCTCACCTTAGGCCTGTGGGCGCTGCCCATCTTAGTCAGCCAAACAGCGCTTCCACTGTGAGAGCACACTGACCACCAGGGGGCTGCTCCTGCATTGAGCTCTATTCCCTGGAGATCAGTGTGACTGATAGACCTGTCATTCTGCCATTTGGTTGCTGGGTTTTTTGTGTGTTTTTTTTAACAACACCTCTTTTTTATTTTTTCCCCCCAAGAAAAGAGAAATAAAGGCATGACCAACAATTGGGGTTCATTTGGACACTCGCAGATGATTTTGTAGGCATACTGGCAGGCACAATGTTGAAAAAACAATGCACTAAATTAAAAAATAATGGTAAGATAAAACAGAAAGCCAATTCATTCCAGATTTAATATCACAATAGATCTTTTAATGACTATTTTTTAACATTAAGAGTACTGTATTAGTGAACACCTTATCTCTTTGAACATTTGTTCAATGTATTAAATAATTTATAGAGAGAAATAAGTTTTGTGTTCTGTACAAATTAAAGGACCCATGAATATATCACCCTCCCCCCGCCAAAGCTCAAATTCGCAATGGTCTTAGCAGAAAATAAACAGTTCACAATTTAAACAGAATTCATAGCATTACAAAAGTTTACAGAACTCCTCTCTTATCCTTTTTTGTTCTAACAGCAAAGGTTACAATGACAGAACTGAAAAATCAGAATGTAAAAATATTTGTGCAAAACTGCATTAATTGTTCTTACCATTTAATAGAGGTAAACCTATGAACACACAAGGACGATAATAAAGAAAAACCACATTGAAAGTCATTCTAGTTTGGGTTTCAAACAACATGGATTATACTATTACTAAACACGAAAGAAAACGTGGCACCATGAGCAGCAGGAGCAACAGATGATTTCGGCAACTGTGCCAGCCAAGGCCGTTGACACTGGAATATGCCGAAGTTTACCTCCACACCAGCCAACCATCTTACAGACTGGAAACAGCTATAGGGCTTACAATGCATGTCAATGTCTTTATTCTTGAAGTTTGCAGATCATAATGACATAGTGAAGCAAGTCCTTTGTCCCCTTCTCAAGGAGTGTTTCTTGGGTGACTGGAAATCCTTAGAAGAGTTGAATCATAGACTCTCTGGACTTCCCTAACCAATCCACATAACTGGAATCTGAAGCTCATCTTCAATAAATCGGACGTAATTTTGTGCATTCACAGGCAGCTCTTTGAACGTCCTTGCATTTGATATGTCTGTGTTCCATCCGGGAAGAGTCTTATATTGAACTTCAACTTTACTTAAGATCTCTTAGTTTGCTGGGAAATGAGGTATAATTTCACCATCTAACTTGTAAGCAACTCCAACTTTAATTTCTGTAAACGTGTCCAAAATATCCAATTTGGTAAGTGCCAATGCAGTAAATCCGTTAATCATATGAGCATATTTAAGCAACACGAGATCCAACCAGCCACATCTTCTTTTCCTTCCAGTAGTCACACCAACCTCTCCACCCCGTGTCTGCAATAATTCTCCAATTTCGTTGCTTTGCTCTGTAGGAAAGGCACTGATACCAACTCGAGTGGTGTAAGCTTTCACAACTCCATATACTTCTCCAACGTTCTGAGGGGGCATACCCAATCCAGTGCAAACACCTCCAACTGTACAGTTCGAGGAGGTCACAAAGGGATAAGTTCCAAAATCGATATCCAGAATTGCTGCATTTGCACCTTCTACCAAGATTTTCTTTGGTGGTCCATGTAGGGCCTCATATAGAAAATACACTCCGTCTTTCACCATTGGTTTAATTCTTTCCATATAACCCTTGAGCTTTTGTAATTCACCTTCAATGTCTATTTCCAAAGTGGGGTATATAGATTTGTACTGGTTTGCCAGAACTTTGAACCTCTCAGAGAAGCCGTCGAAATCGGAAACGAGGTCGCACATCCTGAGGCCGCTCCGAGCAGCTTTGGAAGAATATACGGGGCCTATGCCCTTTTTGGTGGTCCCCAAATTCTTTCCTGCTTGTTCTTGTCTCTGCTGCTCCTGGATGCCATCAGCTGCTTGATGAAAATCAAACACAATGTGGGCTCTGTCAGAGATGATAAGCCTTTTTTCCCAGCCTTCCAGACCTTTTCCTTTTTTAACATTTTTTTCTGCTTCCTCGAATAATCCCGGTAGATGAATTACCACACCATTTCCAATGAATGCAGTAACATTTGGATTAATTATTCCACTGGGTAAAAGATGAAAATCATACTCCACGGAATCTACAACAACTGTGTGGCCGGCATTATTTCCTCCCTGGCAGCGGCACATGATGTCCGCGTCCTGGGCCAGCAGGTCCACCACCTTCCCTTTGCCTTCGTCGCCCCACTGCGCGCCGAGCACCACGGTGACCCGGTTCCCCCCCGGGCCGCGCCCTGGGGAGGCCGCAGTCGCCGTTGGGCAGCGAGGATGCAGCCGGGTGGGTCTCGGCCAACGCCATGGCTCCGGCGACGAGAAGAGAGCCCCAGGGAGAGGCGGAGGGCGGCGGCGGGGAGGGCGCGGACGGAACTGCTGCTCTGCAGCCCGGAGCCACATGCAGAGGAAGCCGCGGCCAGCGGCGGCCCCGCCCCGGCCTGCTGGGTTTTTATATATATATATTTTATTTTTTATCCTCACCTGAGGATATTTTCCCATTGATTTTTATAGAGAGTAGAAGAAAGAGGGAACAATCTATGTAAGAGAAACACATTGATTGGTTGTCTCCTGGGCCAGGGCCAGGGCCCAGCCTGGGCTGAACCTGCAATTGAGGTACGGGCCCTTGACAGAAATTAAACCCAGGACTCATCAGTCTGCAGGCCAATGCTCTATCCACTGAGTCACACCAGCTAGGGCTGGGCTAAGATTTTTAAAAGGAAACAGAGCATTTCTAAGTAGGGACCTCCCGTACAAACTGCACTTCCTGGAGAAGCCTGCACTGAACTGCCTGCTCGCACTTTGTTTCTGCCATAAGAGCCAGCCCTTACAGAGGAGTTCCTGGAATCTTTTCAACAAATAGGACTGAGGGTTTCCCCTTCCAATCTGGTTGGTTCAGCTCTGCCCAACCAGAGTGGCTCTATTCTGACTGATCAAGATGGTGACTTTTGGACCAACCAAACTTTGAGAATTTTGAGTCTTAATTTACATGAGGACAGACAAATCAAGGACCTGGAGTGGGGACTTCTGTCCATAATACCAGTCCCCCTAGCTCTGGGAATGCACTTTCCCTTTCCATAAAAGACTGAAGACTGTGTCTCCCTGGATGAGCGAAAACACCAAAGATATCTTGCCAGAGCCACCAGCATGGAGCAAAGCAGAGCAGACCTTAGAGGAACCAGAAGAGGGTCTGTCCCCAGGGCTGCCTCACAGCCATGCTGTTGTCTTATCCTTGCTGTATCACAATTGAACTGTGTTGTACTGAATAAAGTTTCCTTCTTCACTGCACCCCAATTTGGGGATTCCTGTTGGTGTTGAATTGGTTCCAATGACCATCAGTTGACAGTTGGTTGTGGGTTCTAGCATCTGAGGAGATCTCTGTTAAACCATTAGTGGTCCATATTAATCTAATGGAACAGAGACTTCAGTGGCCACAAACAATAAAGACTTAATATTAGTTCAAAAGGGGAGGATCTTGGGATGATGGTAAGGTAGAAAGCACCAGGAACCTAGCTCCCTACCTAGGCAACAATTACACTGGCAGAATCTGTTTGATGTAACTGCTTTTGGAATTCTGGAGTCTTGTAAGCTTGCAACTTCCAGGAAAGCAGTTGGATGGTAAATTGTGATTAGTTTTTCTAATTTTCAGCTCTTAGCACAGTAGCATCTACCTATCCCCAACTATCAGTTATATGTAGCAGCCTGATGTGGACCTGTTTCTGGAGCAGCTTGCTCTCAGTTTTTGGGAGCCAAACTGGGCAAAAAAATGACCTTCTTTTCCAAATTGCTGCTTCTTGTCAAAGAGATGCAAAGAGGCAGGTAGCCATTGCTGTTGTACCTCCTACCACTGTTTGAAACACCTGTCCCTTCTTGCTGAAGTAACTTATAGGTTAAGGTTTAAAAGGGCTGGTACCCTTTTCCCCTCTCCCTACATTTTTTTTCTTTCCCCTTTTTGGGAGTCAGAACTTAAAGACTAGGACACTCAAAACAACTTCATATAAGGGGAAAATTAGAAATTCTGATTCAAATATCTTTTCTTTCTTTCCTTTTGTTAAATATATGTTTTTATTGATTCTGAGAAAGGAAGAGAGAGATAGAAACATCAATGATGAGAGAGAATCATCAATTGGCTATCTCCTATACACCCTCCACTGGGGATCAAACCTGCAACTTGGGCATGTGCCCTGACCAGGAATTGAACCATGACCCCCTAGTTCACAGGTCGATACTCAACCACTGAGCCACACTGGCAGAGCATACGGTCCTTGTTTCTGTAGCTGGTCATGTGGTTGTAGCTGGTAGTTATAACTACCTTCCTCCACAACCCATTCCATCATATTCCCTTTGCCTTCAGGAACACTTCAGTTACTCAAATTTCTTTAACTAGTGGAGTTATTCAAACCTTCATTCCTGAATGATCTGAGCCATTAGTATTCCTGTCTGGTTGGAGCTGTAGTTTTTAATTGACTTTAATCTCAGGGTGAGGTAATGCTAAGAAATGTCCTAAGAGATTTACTATATTTCAGATAGGCTCTTCCTTACCTTCACTCTGGAGTAGCAGTCAAATTTCTCCTTGGTAATAAGGACCAATCCCCCCACAGTAACTCCCTTCTTTGCCTGTTATTTTCATAGTCATGAGGAGCCCAGAGTGACTACGCAGCAGTCTAAACTTCTAGTTCAGTTGAATGGTGTTCCCTAGTGGAAACTTTCCTTCCTTTATAACTAAGACTTCGAGGCCAGCAGATTATAAGACTGGGAGACACAGGGAGCAAAATTTCTGTTAGTAAGTCACTAGGGGTAATAGTAAGTGATGCCACTCTCATTTTCATTCATTTAATGATTTCTGGACTCAATAATATTGGCTATGAAAGAAAAGGCAGCATATAATGGGTGCAATAGAGCACATACAACCTCCTGGAGAGACCTTTGCTTCTGTCCTGTAAAGTATTGCCACATACCTGGTGCTGTAACTGAGTCTTTAAAAGGCCATTTCAACATTATATAAAGCTAGCTGCTTCGGGATAGTGGGAGAAATGGTAAAAACAGCGAATTCCATGATCCTATGCTCATTGCTGCACTTCATTAGCTGTGAAGTGAGTTTCTTGATCAGAAGTAATGCTGTGTAGTATACCAGGATGATGAAAAGGGCATTCTATAAGTCTATGATGGTAGTTTCAGCAGAGAAAGCAAATTTGCTTCTAGAGTAAATGTCTATTCCAGGAAGAAGAAAATCCTGCCCCTTCCATGATGGAAATGGTCCAGTGTAATCAACCTGCCACCAGAGAGCTGGCTGATCACCCTGGGGGAATGTGCCACAGACTCTGCTGTTGGTAGTTTGGGCACTCAGCCCGGCTGCTCCCGGGTTTGCTTTGGTGAATGGGAATCCATGTTGCTGAGCCCACGCATAACTCCCATCCTGCCACTATGCCCACTATATTCACGGTCCCATTGAACGATGGCCCAGGTGACTGAGGAAGGAGGCTGGCTGGTATCCACAGAACCGGTTTATCATTCTACCAACTTGATTATTAAAATCCTCCTTTATTTGGTGAGTATTCACATAGAATGCAAATATATTCTTCCCGCCCCCGCGCCCCCCCCCCCCATTCAGAGAGGTCTATCCACATACCTCTCCCCCAGATTTCATCATCACTAAATTTCAAATCATGTTCCTTCAAAGTCCCTGGCCACCCAGTCACAGCCCATGAATTGGTATATACCGGTAATCACATTTCTCCTTCCAAGAAAAATGAACAGCCAGTTGCGCTGCTGGAAATTCTGCCCACTGGGAGGGTATTTCTCTTCACCACAGCCTTTCAGGAATGTCCCAGAATGGGGCAGTAGTGCTTCAGCTGTTCATTTTCAGGTGATGCTCACTATCATACAGAACTATCTATACATCAATCAGTCCCAACTCTTCTCTTCCTCTGTCACCCAGGATTGCTCTATGTTGTAGAGCAGAGCCCATTAAAATAGGAACTCCTTCTTGCGGGCTGGTTCGCCTTGATTGTTGAGGATAATTATAGGGCCAATGAAACAGTGTGACTTCTTACATTTCTGTACGAACAAGGAACCTAAAGTAAAGGAGACAGAACCCTGCGGCCCCTCTGGGGAAATCAGGATTCCTCCCTCATAAACTGTTACCACCAGCAGGGGTCACTATGGAGGCTGGTTTGCGTTCCGAATACAAGGGACAAGGTAACCGGATTAATCCATAAACCTTCCAGGAAGGAATGTAGTTTTAATAGAACAATTGGTATCTCTTTCTGGTTCAAAATGAAATTGTTCTGTTATACACACAAAAAAGCTAGTTGACGGGGACTTGATAAACGAATTCTTCCGGAAAGCGACGGAAACGCGTTTAAGTAATATTTGGTCTTCCGCGCCGCCGTAGATCTCCGCCAAGAGCGCCTGCGTAGAAGAGTAGTGGCGTCGGGTCAGGCAATCCGTGGTGGAAGCTGCGGTAGCGACCCTGTCACCTCGCCATGAAGACCCGCTTTAGCACCGTTGACCTGCGTGCGGTACTCGCGGAGCTGAATGCCAGGTGATGGGCGGCAGGAGGCGGGACTGGTGCGGGGAGTGCGGGAGGCGGAGGGGCCCCGCGGCTCAAAACCAGCCCAGCCCGAGGCTCCCCTTCCCCCGGCTGCGCGGTGGAGCTGGCTGGGCCTGGGTTTGCGAGCGCTGGCCCTCTCCCCGGCCCGCGGGTATCGGGGTACCGGGGCCCCAGCGCCCGCGCGCCCCGCGCTCTGGGATAGAAGCAATAAAGAGAAATACAGGGTACAATTTTATGTTTCAGGAAACTGGAAATGACAGGGCTTTCCATAGGCCAAAGAATCCTATCAAAACTACTCCCTTCTCTACTGCCCAAAAAACTAACATTTCATGGAGTTAGTAAACAAGCCGTCTTCTAAGAATAATTATACATAAAGCCTTTCTTAAAAGTATGTATGTTGCGCCCGGCCGGTGTGGCTCCATGATTGAGTGTCGACCTATGAGTTTAATTCCCGGTCAGGGCACATGCCTGGGTTGTGGGTTCTGTCATCATTGATGTTTCTTTCTTTCTTTCTTTCTTTCTATCTATCTATTTATCTATCTATCTATCTATCTATCTATCTCCCTCCCTCTCTCTCCCTTCCCTCTCTGAAATCAATAAAAATAGATTATTTTTTAAAAAAGAAGTATATATGTTTCATGTCAAGGTAGGGTTACATTATTCATAGAGATTACTATTAATTCAGAGTCCCAAACTTCAGCAAGCTTTCTCTGTATGTTAATGCCTAGAGGAGCAACATGAATAATTCCACAGCGTAGTATAACTTTGAACAAATTTGTGTTCTTAATGGCTACACATATGTTAACAAGGAATCATAGAGTTCATGTTCTCCTGCTGTTTAGCAGATTTTTTGTTTAGAATGTATCAACAGAGTATTCAGAAAAGTGCTTCTGCCTGCTGCTGGTCTGGTGCCCAGCTATGGCGGGGCTCTCGCTTCGTCGGCCTCAGTCATCTAGTTTGACAGCGAACATTTAGCGAAACTCGGAGACGCCAGGTGGACGCCCAGACACCAGAGTCAGTCCTTTGCAGACTGGAGGCCTGTTTTCTTTGACACTCCTTGCCCCAAACAGAGGGAGCCTTGCCATCAGCTGGAGGTGACAGATCTGGATTCTAGTCTGGGTTTTTATTACTCAGCTGTGTGAGCTTTGTCATATTTTCCAGGGCCTTGATCACGCCCTCTTTCCCCCGCCTCCCCTTTTATTTCCCTCTTGCAGTAAATTAAGTGGCCTGGACTACCTTTTCTAAAAAAACATTGAGTCATTTCAAAGTCGCAAGGCATGGTGTTTTCAGGGCTGATGGACCACTTTTGTTCTTAAATAGTTACACTTAAGTTTTGAACTGAAAGTATGATGGCCTTCAGACTTTGCTCTTTAGTTGACTCTATATCTTTAGAGTCGAAGATCCTGAAGTCCTCCTCTTCCTTAGGCTCTGCTTCTGCCTGCAGCATTAAATTGTGTGAAGGTTTATGTTTCAGATGGTAGTATGATTTATTTCATGTTTCCTTTCTCTTTGCAGCTTGCTAGGAATGCGAGTAAACAATGTTTATGATGTGGATAATAAGACATATCTTATTCGTCTTCAAAAGTAAGGCTTGTTTTATCTTTTGTTATTAAATGAGAGGTTTTTTTGTTGTTGTTGATGTTGTTGTTTTACCTACTTTTAGTCTGTTTCACTGAGTTAGCATTGGCAAATGCCCTAAAGAAAAAAAATCAACTTTTTTCTTCTACAGACCAGACTTTAAAGCAACACTTTTACTTGAATCTGGCATACGAATTCACACAACAGAATTTGAGTGGCCTAAGAATATGATGCCGTCTAGTTTTGCCATGAAGGTAAATTTTAACTTATACTTGAAAGTAAATTTTAAGGCAGTTGAAGTTTTAAAGTAGAGATAAAATAAAGATAAGAGTAGTTGATAGATATTGGAATGAATAAAGTGGATATCTATTGACTTCTTATTACTCTTCACACCCAATTGTCCTCCAAATATTTCTGTTCCCATAGTCAGTATTCAAGGTCAAGCTTTTTTTTGACGTTCAACTATAAATCCACATCGTGTATCAAAACAGTTCTGTATTAGACCAACATTAAATTTTTCTAAAGCATCATTTACATTAGTTATCTCACATTTTAGGATTCCCTAATTTTTGAATATTCCATATCCTAGCATTCTTGGCTGTCCATGATCTGTTCCTCACCTTCCCCACCCCTCCTTTTCCTAGTCTTATCTTCCATAGCTCACTTTTGAGCTATCAATTTGTATTTTTTTGGAATACTCAGTCACATTAGTATGTTAACAATTATTATTTTTTTTACTTTTTACTTTTCTCCTTGCTTTTCTTTGTACTATTAAAACTGAGATTCTGTATTGTGGACATGTTACTCATTTGCTTATTGACATAACAGATAAACTGAAAGTTCATGTGCTACGAGGAAAGGCATTGGAGTCAGATATACCTAACTTTGTATTAATGATTTTGCTACTCATTTTATAATTTGGAAAAGTTATTTAACCTCTTGGAACTTAGTTTCTTTTCATATGAAATATGGATAATACCTCCCTCATGAGGTTATTGGTGAGGATTAATTGAAGTAACATGTAAAGCATCTAACACAATGCCTGACACATATTAGGAATCCATATGTATTAATTTCCTTCTTCCTCTCCTCCTCACTTTCCTTCAGAAATTTATTTGTTTTGGCATTGTGTTATTTCATTAGAGGCTTTACAGAGAAGAGCCTTATCCCCAGCAACTTAGAATCTGTTTTGGATTGCGAGTTAGGTAAGTGCTTCCCAGATCACAAGGGTTATCATAAAATTATCAAATTCATAAAAGTCTATTTAATACTAACCCAAAATGGTTCTTTTGGAGATTATCCTTACTAGTAATGCCACTTTATGTTTGTGTAGTGCTTTTAAAAGTAGATGAGTAATGCATATTTCATTTAAGTTAACAACTCTGGATATGAAGAACATTTAGTTTTGCAGATGATGTAAGAAGCAATAGGATATGATTGTATAAACATTCCCAAAATAGGCTGTAGTATCAATGGGACTTCAAACACTTTAAAGAAACTTAGAATTTTTGAGTTAGGTGTACATGTCAAGCTAAATGTATAGAAAGATCCCCTCTAATGGAGCAGACAATGTTAAGTACTTTATAAAACACTTACAGAGCTGTTACTGTTGTATGATACAAGCGGGGCCATGTCCAATATGTAGTTAAATCACAGTATTTGTCTCTAGTTCTCTCACATTTGGGGATGCCAGCTATAGCTCAGTGGGTGAAAGGTTGTTTTCACCACGCTGCTAATGAAATAAGCAAACAAAACAGGATTTATATATGTACTCTATGTCCACACATACTCATGATAAATAATCTTCCCTTTTTCACCATTCCATGGTACCAACTTATGTTTCTCACAAGGATGCCTTTTATGTTCATTTTAACTCTACTTCTTTTTAATTTAATCCTCACCTGAGGATATTTTTCCCATTGATCTTTAGAGAAAGAGAGTTGGAGTGGAATACACACACACACACACACACACACAGATATACATTGAGTGGCCAGATTATTATGATCTTTGAACACATAATAATCTGGCCACTCAAAATACACACACACACACACACACACACACACACACACATTAGAGGCCTGGTGCATGAATTCATTCATGGGTGGGGTCCAGCCAGCCTGGCCAGTGGGAGGGGACATGGGTGGTTTGCTGGCCTGCCTGCTGGTCAAACTCCTGGTAGAGGGGACAATTTGCATATTAGCCTTTTATTATATAGGATATACACTGAGTGTTCAGAATGTTATGTGTTCAGAGATCATAATAATCTGGCCAGTCAGTGTGTGTGTGTAGAGAGAGAGACACAGAGACAGAGACAGAGACAGAGGAGGGAGGAAGACAGAGAAACATTGATAAGAGAAAGGCACATCAACTGGTTGGCTCCTGCACCTACCTCAACCAGGGCCTAGCATCAGACCTGCAACTGAGGTACAGGCCCTTGTTTGGGAATTGAATCTGAGACCCTTCAGGGTGAGGGCCAACATACTAACCTCTGAGCAAAACCAACCAGGGCTGACTATATTTCTTGAATAAGAAGATTATTGGGAAACTCTAGAAGGCTTGATTGTGATTTCCCACTGGGGATTTAAAGATAGCCCTATATGTAGGTCATTGTTTAAATAAAAATCCATATAGGTTACTCTTAAATCAGAACCGTTGAATTTAGGAGGGGGAAGTTGTTTATTCTATGAAGTTGGAAAATTCTTATATCTGCCTGAATATATAAGTACATAAAATAAAAATTTTAGTCAACTTGAACGATAAGGTCTGGAGGAGACTATTCTTAGTTGTGAAAGAGTAGACATTCATTCTAAGAATTACTCTCTATATATTTAAAGGTGGTTTTAGATTAACTTCTGTAAAATTTATGTTGAATCTGAGTGTTAAAGAAAAGAAAGCATTCTTTCTTAATGGTCTACACTAGGGGTGTCAAACTCAATCAGAGAAGGGGCCAAAATCTAAAATCCAGCCTAAATCGCGGGCCGAATGGTTTACTGAACAGTCATAAACTGTCATTGTGATGGAAACGCAGTGGAGTGCAGTGATGACAGCGCAGTGCGGGCCACATTGCAAGGCCTGGCGGGACGGATTTGGCCCGCGGGCCTTGTGTTTGACACCTGTGGGCTACAGAGTAGTCTCGTTTCGGTCCATGTCATCTATAATAATCTATAATAATAAAAGCATAATTTGTAAATTGGCCAAATGGCCAGATAGCGGAATGACTGTCTGAGCAGCCTTCCGGACATTGCAGTGGCTGTGAAGACCTACTCTTGCACGGATTTCACGCATTGGGCCTCTAGTACCTAAATATTTGTACTATAGAATGGTACAAGTAATCTAAAATAAAACATATTTACCAAGTAATTTGTATTTGAGTTTAACATGCTAATTTTATTCTAATTGCTAATAAGAACAGTAACTTTATGACTAGAGATGTGAGGAATGAGATTTGATAATGAATAGGAGTTATTGTATTTGGATTTCAGCTAGGCTGATCAAAAGCTTAGAGATAGTACCAGAAAATTCTACTTCGGTTCTATCAGTAAAGTTTGTGGCAATAGAGGGTAATTGGATATAAGTTGGAGGACTAATTTCCACAATACCAATAAGCTCATGGTTTAGAATTTGTATTTGAAGTGGAAGGTTAATGGAAACTTCATTAATTTTGAACAAAAACACACAAAAGGAAATTTGGGATACTTAAAAGATTGGAGTAGAAAGAGACTTAAAAAAAAAAAAAAAAAAAGGTTATTGCCCAAGCCTGTTTGGCTCAGTGGATAGAGTGTCAACCCAAGGATTGAAGGGTCCATGGTTTGATACTGGTCAAGGGCATATTCTTAGGTTGCAGGTTCGATCGTGGCCGGGCGAGTACAGGAAGCAACCAATCAATGTGCCTCTCTCACATCAATGTTTCTCTCTCTCTGTCACTCCCCCTTTCTTCCTCTCTTTAAAAACAAAAAACATGGCTTTTAGTGAGGTCATCGGGGTGAGAACAAGGAATTTAGTAGTTATATAAGCAACAAGTAAAATTCACTATGGGCCTATCATTACTTAAAATTTTTTTAAAAATATATTTTATTGATTTTCTTACAGAGAGGAAGGGAGAGAGATAGAGAGCTAGAAACATCGATGAGAGAGAAACATTGACCAGCTGCCTCTTGCACACCCCCTACCAGGGATATGCCCGCAACCAATGTACATGCCCTTGGCCGGAATCGAACCTGGGACCTTTCAGTCTGCAGACCGACGCTCTACCGCTGAGCCAAACCAGTTTTGACTCATTACTAAAAAATTTAATATGAAATACTGTTTCAGAGTTAGCATTTAGAGTTGTCTAAACCAAAATATTTTTTCTCTTATTACCTGCTTTTGTTTTATAATGTTTATTTGCAACTTTAAAAATATTATTCCTGATGCCAATGAAAAGAAAAAACATAATCCAATACCAAATGATTAGGAATTAACTTTAATTATATAAATGCATTTCTCTTCTGTTTCTTGCTAGTGCCGAAAACATTTGAAGAGTCGGAGATTAGTCAGTGCAAAACAGCTTGGTGCGGATAGAATTGTAGATTTTCAGTTTGGAAGTGATGAAGCTGCATATCACTTAATCATTGAGCTCTATGATAGGGTAAGTTAAATTTGGGACATGGGGTGAGGGAGAATTCATCATTATATTGTTAATATAATGTAATAGTGCTGTAAAATGTGCAGGAAACGTGGGTTTTTTTGTATCAAAGGTTATTATTGATACACTAGTGGCCTGTGCATGAAATTTGTGCACATTAAGAGGGAATTAATTAGAGGAAATATTTTAATATTGCTATTTGCCCATTATAATAGAAGTGTGAGAGATGAAAGGAAATTAGTAAACTGTATATGAAAATAATATATAAATTTATTAATAAACAGTAACAAAAGGATATAACAGAGGCATGGTATAAAAACAGAAAAAACATGATATGAAAACAACAAAAACATAATATAAAAACAACAATGATGCAATGACTAATAAATTGATTAAATTTATTCTAATATCTTCCTGTATACCACATTAAGAGTGAAAACACTTTTCAGAGTTCTTGCCTAATTTCCCTTGTGATGAAGTATTTACAACTTTTTTTTTTTAATCTTTATTGTTCAGATTATTACAAATGTGATCCTCTTCCCCCCCTCAATTGCTCCCCTTCACCAGGTTCCCACCCCACCCTCTGTCCTTTCCCCATCCCCCATTGTCCTCATCCATAGGTACACAGTTTTTGTTCAGTCTCTTCCCGCACCACCACTCCCCTTTTCCCTGAGAATCGTCAGTCCACTCCCCTTTCATACCTCTGATTCTATTACAGTATATTCACCAGTTAATATTGTTCATCAGATTTTTAAATTCCCTTGGTTTTTAGATTCACTTGTTGATAGCTACGTATTTGTTGATCATAATTTTTATCTTTATCTTCTTCCTCTTCCTAAATAACCTCCTTCAGCAATTCATATAATTCTGGTTTGGTGGTGATGAACTCTTTTAGCTTTTTTTTATTTGTGAAGCTCTTTATCTGACCTTTGATTCTGAGTGATAGCTTTGCTGGGTAGATTATTTTTGGCTGTAGGTTCTTGTTATTCATCACCTTGAATATTTCTTGCCATTCCCGTCTGGCCTGCATGGTTTCTGTTGAGAAATCAGCTGACAATCTTATGGGTGCTCCTTTATAGGTCACTACCTGCTTTGCTCTTGCTGCTTTTAATATTCTCTCTTTGTCTTTTGCTCTTGGAATTTTAATTATGATATGTCTTGGTGTGGTCCTCCTTGGAATCCTTTTGTTTGGGGTTCTGCGGGCTTCCTGGACTTATAAGTCTATTTCTTTCCCCAGATGGGGGAAGTTTTCTGTCACTATTTCTTCTAATACTCTTTCGGTATCTTGCTCTCTCTCTTCTGGAATCCCCATAATTCTGATGTTGGTTCACTTGAAATTGTCTCAGAGGTTTCTTACACTATCTTCAACTTTCTGGATTCTCTTATCTTCTCCCTTCTGTAGAGGAGTGTCCTCTGGCTCTTTGTGTTCTAAATCTTTGTCTTGATTCTTGCGATCTTCCAGTCTGTTTTTAGGACTTTGTATAATATTTTTTATTTCAGACAATGTTTTCTTCATTTCTTGTTGATCCCTTATTATTTCTAGTTGCTCCCTTTTCATATCCTCATAGGTCTCATTTATTTTATCGGCCTTTTTTAGGATATTGTTGAATAACCTTATAACTGTAGTTTTGAACTCAATGTCCAATCTTTTCTTTTCCTCCATCTCCTTCCTTTGTGTCCTTCTTCTTGTCTGCATTTTAGTTGTTTCCCTGATTTGATGGAATAGCTTTGTGTGCTAGGTGTTCTGGTAGAGCCCAGTAGCACAGCCTTCCCAGTTACCTGCAGTGGACAGTCTTGGTGTAGCCCTTTGTGGGCTGTGTGTGCAGTCTTGTTGTTAAGCCTTGCTTATTGTTGGTATCACTGGGAAGCGTTGATCTCCAAGCCAATTGGCTGTGAGGATCAGCAGTGTCTCAGCTAGGAGGGTTTCCATACTCTGCTTGAATAGGGCGGGGTCTCGGGGTGGTGCAGACAATCTTTGGTTTCCTGTCAGTCTTGCCTTAGAAAAGTCCTGTTCGTGGAGAGTTTTGGAAGATTGGTTGCAGGCGCGCACACACCTCTTTGGTAAAGGCACAGACAAGCTTTGGATTCCTGCAAGTCCCTCCTTAGAGAAAGCCAGCCTCTGGGAGAGTTTCTGTGCTCAGCCACAGGTAGGGCGGAGTCTCGGGTTGGTGCAGACTAACTTTGTTTTCCCTTCGGCTCCTCCCCAAGTCCCGCAGTAATGGCCTCTGGCTTCACACACCTCCAAGAGATCTCTGCCCACTGCCTGACAGTCTGGCCTCTCCCTGTCTGGGGCCGTTTATCAGAGCAATAGGCTGATTCTGTTTTCCTCTCGGACAAGAAAGCCAGTCACGTTAGCTGTTCGCCCTCTCTGCGCCAGGAGTAAGCCAGTAGCGAACTCAGCCCGGCCCGCCCTCTCTGCGTGCAGGGAGTAAACCAGCAGCAATCTCGGTCCGGCCCTTCCTCTCCGCACCGGGATTAAGCCAGCGCCTTTTCGCACACACAGTTCTCCGTACCTTCACAGTTCCTGAGGTTCAGCGTGCCTTCTCTCTCCTTCCCAGATGGCAGAGCCTCCTCTCAGCCAGCCGTCTGGCACTTCAGGGCAATGCCTCCCCTGTTTTTCAGTTCTAAATTCAAATTTGTTGTGGTAGGCTGCATTCGGGTGTCTACCCTATGCCGCCATCTTGGTTTCTTTTCTGAAGTATTTACAACTTTAATGGCACATGCTCTTTGAACTTGAGAGAAAGCAACTTATAACTGACCATGTGCGAAAACAGGTTCGGGTAGGAATATTCCTACTCTGTCTAGAGTTTGTCCTAGACATCGCAAATTCTAGCATCTCAGGAAACTATCATCGAATCAATTTAAATGGGAGGCCAGTGTCAGATGGGGACAAATCACTTCTTGAAATCAGAACAGCCTCTCCCTCAGCAGATCCCTCTGTTAATACTTCAGCTTTGATAATAAATTTGGTACCATTACAAAGACCTCATTTACTATTAAGATTTCTCAATAGCATGATGATTGCATCCACTTTCAATTTTATGACATGGCATTCCCGAAGGAGTAGTACTAGTAAGAAATTTGATGGGAAAATTTTTCTTTTCAGCATCATTTGTTGAGTCAATGGAATCATCACTCAAATATGTGTGAAAATCTCCATTGAGTATATTCAAAATTTCTTCATTTAGTTTTTGAATGTGCTCATTTTTTGGACAAAGAATCACACGTTTAGATATATTTTTAATATTATCTATAGATATACTATTTCCAAAGGTAGTTTCAATAATAGATCCGTTACAAATCATTTCACAAGGAATTTCAATAATATCCATTTCTAAATGAAAACTGCTATCAAGTTTACCATCTCCAAGTTTTACTAACCATTCACTATAAGCAGAATCCTCTGATCTCATATTTGTTGTAAGAGACAACTTTCTGAAACATCCTCAAACAGTATAGTACTTTAAACTTGTTTGTACTATGGCCGATCGCATAGCATGCAGTACAATACTGAGACATTGTCAAAAATCCCCTCCCAAGAAGGAGAACTTGTCCACCAAATACAACATTAAAATTAGTAATTTCTCTTAGTAATCTGTCTATGGTGTTTATAGCATGACTGGATGCCATGGTGCATTCATCAATAATAAGAAGTTGGGCCTTTTTAATAGTTTTAGCAACTTCACTGTTTACATCGAGTCTAGAAATTAAAGTTTCATTTAATGGAATTGGTAA